AATATGGACTTGCCATGAGATAAAATTGATTTGATGGTACCTAACACAAGCCATTATTAGGACACACAATTTTTATGGCATGTTTGCCATTTTAAAGAGATTTCTCATTATCACTTTTGACTTAAGAGTCATAAAAATGACATGAGTCACTGGAAATGGTACTATTTTTAACAATATTTGTATACATACATAAATAGACTGGGAAAGACTAAGTGCACTTCTACAAGCTTTCTTATCTCATTTTATGGACCAAAGCCTTTTGAAATCTTCTTATATCTTGATTCTATGATTTTTTAAAAGATGGCTACCTCTCCCAGTCTGGCTTTCTGAGTAAGTTAGTTGATTATGTATTCTATTTCACAGATAAAATTATTGCAGTATATAAGTTCAAAATAAAAACTTCAAAACTTCATCTTGACTGGTTAGCCCCAATCTGCTTTTAAACTTACATTTCCAGCTCTATTCAATCATTCATTTGACAGCTTTCAATGCATGTCTTGTCGTTGTTGTCTGCCTTCAAGTTGAACACTACTGACAGTGACCCTATGAACAAAAGGCCTGAAGCCCCTCTACAACTATTGACATTTATCAAAGTTCATAGAGTTTCTGGAGGCATGTTGTTTAGGAAGTGGATGCCACTCCTGCTTCTAAACCTGTCATATTATGTTATTATTTTTATGTGTCATTGAGTCACCTGCTATGTATAGCGACCCTATATACAGCACCTCTGAACCCCTCCCTGTCCTGAGCTAGTCTCACTAATTCTGACATGAAGCCTCTTGAATTTTAAAATTAGGAAAGATAGATGTGTCAATAAGTAAATATTGCAAGACTGGTGCAATGCTGTGGGAATGACCAAGGAGGATGGTGTAATCAATTCAACTAAGAGGGGCAAGTAGCACCTCAGATGGCATTTAATTCAATATAATGAAGGACAGAGACTATTAAATATTTTGTTAAATCAACTATAAGCAAAATCAATTAGGCATTCCTCCAGTGTGACAACCTTGAAGTCATACACAAACTCAGCTTTGATGTAATTTATATTTCTTTATGTTCTCATTTTGGGATCTAAAGGCCACTTATCCTTTGGTTTCAGATCAAACTATTAAAATGCCATAATCTTTCAATCCATTCTGAAGTTTAGCAGCTAATATAAATGGTACTGACAGTCTTCTTCCATGATATCAGTGTTATAAGATTACCTTACATTTTCCTAAGAGTTACTTGTTATCAATTAAATTTTTCACTCAGCCATTTTTCTGATTGCTAAATGCTTAATGTTGTGCTGCAATCCCAAAGGCATTCGGTTCAAATCACTATCCGCTCCGCAGAAAGATGGGCAATCTCCTCTCATGGGATTAACTGACTCTGAAAACCTGCCACAAAGTCAGCTATGACTCAGTTCCAACTAGATGGTACACAACAACAACAACAAATACTTGATAAATTAAAATCACTCTTACCATACTTGCAATACCTATCACAGATCTAGGATAGTTTCTCCTGTCTTAGAATAGGATGACCCTTGCAATTTACTGTGTCTGAAAACCTGCTGGAGGGTCAGCTATGGCTTGATTCCAACTCAATGCAAGGGCAGAGATTTTCCATAGTTCTCCCACAAAGCAGTTTGTGGATTTGAACCACAAGCTTTTGCACTGGTAGTGCCATTCCTTACCACTAAACCACCAGAACACCCAAAGGGATTTATTGTTGCTAGATACTGACAAGTTGAAACCAACTCATGGACCCTCCTGCAGGTTTTCCGAGACAGTAAATTGCATGGGAGGAAATTGCTCATCCATCTCCCTTGGAGCAGCTTGTAGATTGGAACTGTGTGCCTTTTGGTTGGCAGCACAGCTTCTTATCCCTAGGCCATCAGAGCTCCATATGGGTTTATTAGACATTGTCATTCACTCATTTTATCAATTAACTGTAATTAAAGTTTTAAAATAAAATGTCTTTTAGTGACAAAAAAAAAAAAAAAAGAATAGGATGACCCACATCAGTATCTAATAGACGGTCTAGTGACCTTTCCAGCTATGTAGCGAGTGTTTGTAGTTCTTCTTGCATGGCTTAGTGCTATTTGTTGTTGTGGTGGTTGGTTGCCTTCAGGTCGAGTACAAGCACAAGCACGGCTCATCGTGACCCTATGAATAAAAGGCTGAAGCCTCTCAACACTATTGACATTTATGTATACTCATAGAGTGTCTAGAGCCATGTTATTTAGGAAGTGGATGCCACTCCTGCTTCCAAATAGTGCTATTAATTTATATCATTTTTAAGTGTGTCCATGTGGTGTTAAAAGTTTGTTGTTCAAAATGGGTTTCCTAACCACTGAATTTGCTTTGCCATGTGGATTTTCTTATGCTGCGGCCACCATCTCTTGAGTTTAGGAGTCTCTAAGTCCAAACACCAGGTAATAGTACTAGGAAAAGCTACCTATCTCTGACTGTTCTGAGGAAAACCCCTTTGCCTTGACCTCTTCCAGGACTTTATGTGGCTTAATGCCTCTTCTCTTGCATTTGCAGCATGCTGTTGTCACAAGGGAATAGATTCCCAGGGGAGGTTGATGTGTCCTTTAAATCTGATATGTATGTGTTGTTTTCTTGGACTCCTGGAAAGGAGTCATACCTGCACTGTATGGGGCTGGATAGGCAGGAATACATGAATAGGATGTGATAGCCTATCCAGAAGAGGATTGACTAGTCTTGACACTAAATAAAGCAGACTCAACTTGAGAGTCTCACCACCAGGAAAGAAGAAACTGGTAAGCAGTGCACACCCTTCAGGGCCAGAAATTCTTGCATCAGTTAGACTTACAGCAGCAGCAGCAGTGGCCAAAGCAGAGGACCCACAACCTGACTGTGAGATGGAGCTGACCATTGAATCAGAGCTAAGAGCTTTTTGCCCAAGTTTGTGGAAGGACCAGGATAGGGGCGGGGCCACAAGAATGGGGCATGGGGTGGAGGAGATCCTAACTGCCAGGACTAAGAACTGTTAATCCTGACCTAAAAGCTTTGAGGCTCAAGGCTGAGGTACCTGTGAACACATTTTAGAAGCCATCCTAACAGAGCGAATGCATGTTTGCTACTAACCTGAATTACAACCTTTTGACTGCTCTATGATTCTGTGTGGTCCATGAGCTATCTCATCAGATTTTGGAACCAGTAAAGCATTAAGATTGGTATTGGGAGGAGTAAAAAGAGGTGTGGGAGTGTGGGGGATATGTCTGACCTCATGGGAATTGGTTTTTTTCCCTGGCTGTTATTGATAAGGGCAGTTTCCCTTTGTCAGTAGAGAGAAAGTATGGTTGTTCCCATGTGACTTCTGCTCTTTTTACAATCAGCAATGATGAAGATGGTACAGGATAAGGACAAGGTTAAGGTCTGTTATTCATAGAGTCTCTATGAGTTGAACTTGACTCTATGGCACTTAACAACAGTACATGACATTCAGTCAGTTCTGACTCATGGTAAACCTCCATTTCGTTTCTGAGGTTGTAAATCTTTACAGGAGATGGCTGCATCTTTCTCTTTTGAAGCTTCTGTTGGATTCAGACTATTGACCTTTGGATTAGCAGTCCAACATGCACCACACTCTCCCTCCTGACTCCTAAATGTTGATGGCATAGAGATTTTTCCTGCCTTTCAAATTTCAGTACAGTGCTTGGAAAATAGGTATTTAAGCATTTAACAAATAGAAGAACATTGGCGTTTTACTGTAGAATCCAATATTTGTGTACTATTTACATATTCTTACTAGCATTTGGCAGTATCTTTTCCCAATGTTAAATTCATAGTATTAGATTGGCACCTCTGTATCCATGGAGTATTAAACCATACAGTAAATCTTGGGAAGTTTGAGGTAGATACAGCAATGAACAGAACTGGTCCCTGCTGAAGGGAACTGGTACACCACTGGCAGAGGAAGATTTGCACATATATAATACAAGGAAGTGGCTAATCCGGTTTCTTTTTGATGGGCAAGCATTTTTGTAAGGACTTAGGCTATAAGTGTGCAACGCTAAAACAGCTAGATAGTGGTGGAGGTAGCATAGCATTTATTATCATTCCCTCTCATACAGCAAAATCCAAACTTTTTTCCTGCTTTAACTAGAGTTTATGGTTAAATCCCAAAGCCTAGAAGATTTACCACTTCAGATGAATTCCATATATTTGCATTTGTCAAAGGCTTTCCAACTCTCTAGTACTTGAACCCAGGGCTTTGCTACATTTCTGAATCGAAGGGGGGTGATCACCTTGTTTGGTAGCAAAATTCAGTTGCATTCCTCTATTTAAGAATATAATTTCAGGAAACTGATGCTTGTTGTCAAAAACGCTATTTTTAATGGAAATGACTCACCAAAAGAACAGACCGTTATCTTATTTTTTAAGAAGGTTTTGTTATAAAGTTGAAAATACCTTTTCTCAATGGAAAAAAAAACATTATTCGACTTGGCACACATTATTTAACCACTTGAAAGACTAGAGTATAATTCACGATTTTCTCTCCTCTCTCTTATCTATCTTCTATGGATTCAGAAAGCCTTATTCTTATTCTTCAATAAATATTACTTTATGTCTTTCTAGCAAAGATATCTTTATGAGGTTCAAAATTCACTCCTAAAGAAATCACAGTAAATAGGCAAATAGATGAATACATCAGAAAAGGCCAGACTGGATAGTCTTCAAAGCGTCTGGATTGCCTTTTCTCTTTCAAGGGCAGAGAGCCCTTTCAGTACTGAGAACGTCTGAAAGGGTTAATGTGGGGCTTGGCCGGCCTTTAATGAAACTTTTTTTTTCCCAGCCTGAGCCTCGGGTTTTCCCTTGAAGGGATTTCCCTCCGCCTCGCCGGGTGACTACCCTCTTTATAAAAAGCAGACTTTCTATTTCAACTCCTCACTGAGCCTTACTGGCTTTAGGAGTTGGGAGCCTCTTCCCAGGAAGTTTCAGGTGGGACCGCAAGAAGGACTTTTCTCATCACAGCAGCAACTTAAAATGCGGAGGAAGACAGGCAAGATCTTTGCAGCTCTAAGTATCCTTTGCATGGTGGTGGCTTGTAAGTGCCTCTCCTTGATTTGTTTCAAATGCTCCCTTTAGATTTCATCCCCCCGTTTTGGCCTCAATAGCGCTGTGGTAGTACAGAAAGGCACTTGGGTTTTCAGACAGTGAGAAAACTCCATTTAACCTAACTTTGAAAGTGCTATTGAGTTTTACTGCACATCTTTATAATGTCATAGCTAGAGCTTCGAATTCTAACATTTATGTACGTTTTATGTACTCTTTTACATGTTGCTGTAAAAAGAAGAAAAGGGGGGAAAGCATAGTGTTTTTACCAAAATATTTGGAGGGAGCAGCTTGCCAAAAAAAAAAAGTAGAAGTCCTTATTTACATGAAAATAGTTTCCTGTGCTCGGTAAAGAGCTCAAACTTAGCATATAATAAAACAACTCTGATAAGCTGGCATCCTGGAACTCCTAAGTTAAGACTCCAACATCTCCTTTGGCAAAAAAGTCGGTGCTTTTCAGTCAGTTTAGGAAAGAGATCGGCCAGAGAGAACTGTGCTAGAACAGAGGACAGGGAGTAGAATACTAACTAAACCCCAAATAAGTTTGCCTTTTCTCTTTCTTGCCTTGACAGCTCAAGCTTTTAAGATTGAGATCTCTCCTGAATCGGACATCCTTGCTCAGATTGGTGACTCTGTCTCACTGACTTGCAGTACCACCGGCTGTGACTCCCCTTCTTTTTCTTGGAGAACCCAGATAGACAGTCCTCTGAGCGGGAAGGTGAGGAACGAAGGGACCAGATCCACGCTGGTCATGGATCCTGTTGGCTTTGACAATGAGCATTCTTACCTGTGCACTGCTACCTGCGGATCCCTGAAACTGGAAAAAGGAATCAAGGTGGACATCTACTGTGAGTTCTTCAGACAATCTTTAGTCTACTTTCAATCTCATTTTAAGATAATGTGTTGTTGTTGTTTTTGTTAAAAATTTTTTTGTAGAATTTTTTTTAAGTAAACACTTGTGCAAACATTTTACTCATTTGATTTTGGCCTAGTTCAACTTAGGTTTGAGGTTTTTTGTTGATTTTTTTTTAGAGTAGATCTTCATATTCCTATTCTTGAACCTAAAGAATATGTATAACTAATTTGTTTTGCTTCATAAATGCATCAAGACAGTTAATGACTTTCAGAATCTGCCACAAGATTCCAAATCATAACTTCTGTTTCCAACTGTGCCACATACATGGACTTCGGTTTGCCTAACTATGAAATGAAATCTCAAAGGTTGCTTTCATTTTTTTTTTAAAAATGCTTCTATTTATTTCTGTTCGAACATGCTTATTTTATCAGAAGCATGTATAGAAACAATTTATGTACTTCTTCTATTTCAAGTTTTCCTTATATTTCTTTTTATGTGATTTAGTGCTTTGAAACCAGTGTAATTATTAAGTAAGAGATCTACAATGTAGCCTTCCCCTAAACATGAGAACACATGTCTGCAAACATTTCATGCATTAGACTTTGGACTAGAGGAAGTTAGGATTTGTGTTCTTGCGCTGAGTCTCATGCATATTTGCATAATGAATTCGTTTTGCCTCATAACTGAATGCCTGTAGTTTAACCCAATTTGATAGTTTAACCTGCTGAAAGGCACTATAGCCCAGTCTTACTTCTGCAAAACAAAGCGCGAGAAATAAGAACTCACTGGAAATACATCACTTTTGGTCACTGATGCCCACTCTTTCTAAAAACCTGCCTCTGTTTGTGGTTATTTCTTCATGAAGACCTGCTTTGAATACTTTATAATTGTGCTGATTCTTTTCTGCTATGCTGGAGCCCAGTTTAGACCAGGCAGCTTATTTGATTCTTCTGCAAACCCCCTGTGTTGCTTGCTAATACTTAGCAAGAAATTCATCTCTCTGGCTGCTTTCAATTATATTGGGCCTTCATGCACATTTTACATCTGCACAGCCTCTTGAGCCCCTTGAAAGATCCCTTTATGTAAATATGAGACAAAGTGGCAAGTTCTTATATTACTTGACATCAAACTGTGTGGATTCTAGTCACATTTCTTACAGCACATGAGGGTCTGAAATTATTGGTAAAAAGGAACAAAAAATACTGTGTTTTCCTTAGTAGCTGCATTTGTAGTTCCTTCACCTTTGCCTGCAAATACCAGAAAGTTGAAGTTGTAAAATAGAAAAGTAAAGACTCTTCTGGCTTTAATTATCTTGCCTGAGTTTTTCCTCCAAGAAAGTCTGTCTCTCATTATGTCTATTAGTCCTGCTTCCACTCCACATTCTTTGTATTATTCTTCAGAGTTGGGGCCTTTGTATTCATACTGCATAGGCCCTGAATCCAGGCCATGTGTTAACATCTCAAGGCTTTGTGATGGAAGGGAAGGCCCTGTATAGGAGATAATAGCTGACTGGAATAGTGTTCTTTGGAACTAAAAAGATCCAGTGGAACATTGGTGGGTCCCACGGTGTTGGGCATTTGGGGGAGTGAACTCACCTGCCAGAATTTACAATTGTATAGGTGCTCCTTTCTGCTGGATAAATGCCTATCAGAGATGCCCTTTTTAGAAGTCAATTATTTAAATTTACTTTTTTTAATTTCTTAACTCCTCTTGCTTACTAATGGCTTTTTGCAATGACATTCTTAGCTTCAAATTCTTTCACCGCAATACAGAAATAAACACTAATACAAGATGATGACAAAACATAAGCCTATGTAAGCAACCTAAAGGAATACAAATCCAGAGCTGACATCCCAGCTTTTGTTGACACATGCCATTGAGTCAGAACTTACTCATAGCTGACAGTTCAGCAGATTTTCGGAGGCTCTAAATCCTACAGGAGGAAATTGCTCATTTTTCTCCTACGAGTCTCCTACGAGTGCATTTGAATTGCCAAAGAGGCCTCACCTTTGGGTTAGCAGCCCAACTCCCTGTGGATTACACCACCAGAGCTCCCTATTAGGGATGTTGTTGTTCTTACGTACTGTTGAGTCACAGTCGACTCACGGCTGACCTGTCCAAGGCTTTAAGTTTCTAGGGAAGAGATTGCCCATCTTTCTTCCAGCGAGCAGCTGGTGGATTTGAATCGCCTACCTCTGACGTGCCAGTGTAACTTCTTATCCATGCGGCCACCAGAGCTAATTCCCAATAGGAATATTGTTGGTGTGTGCCTTTGAGTTGAAACCAACTCATAGCGAACCCTCCAGTGGGTTTCAGAGGGTGTAAATTACACAGGAGGAGATTGCTCATCTTTTTCAAGGGAACAACAGTTGGTGGATTTGATTCGTATGTCTTGTGTTGGCAACACCCCTCCATATCCCTAGGCCAATTGAGCTCCTGCCCTATAGGAATAAAGCCTTCCAAAATATGGATGATGTTTATTCTTGCTTCTTGAATCCATCCGTCCCAATCCTCGCAATGAATTCTGCTGTGCTAAATGACAGGTTGTGCTGGTTTAGACTGTATTAACTGAAGCATTAGACTTGGTTTCTTTTGCATTAAAACAATGAAGTGTCTTATCCAACATGAGCAAAAGCCCATTCACATTTTTTTGTTTGGCCTTTGCAGCTTTCCCTAATGATCCAGTGATTCATTTGAGCAGCCCACCCGAGGTGGGAAAGTTGGTCACAGTCAAGTGTTTGGTGTCTGATGTTTACCCGTATGACAGGCTAGAGATGGAGATACTGAAGGATGGTAATCTCATGAAGAATCGGGAGTTTCTAGAGGACATGGACGGGAAGAATTTAGAGACCAAGAGTTTAGAAGTAACCTTTACTCCTGTCATTGACGATATTGGAAAATACCTTGTTTGCCGAGCTAAATTACATGTTGATAAGCCTGACTTTGTGACTACAGAGAGAGAGACCACAAAAGAACTGCAAGTCTACAGTAAGTACCTTTGCACATTGCCTAGTCTTTTCGGGAATTCAGATTCAGGTGAAGAGCAATAAATTTAGCAACTCACAGCAGGAAATAAGTTGGAGGTTTTATTCCATTTTGATTCATTGTGAACTCAGTCTTTTTCATCAGCATAATTCAAGGAAAAGTGCACTGAACTGAGTTGAGAAGACATCTTAAATTCTGGTTTCATTAAATAGGTGAAATTGCTTGATTTCGCCAAACTTCCATTTCTCAGACTACAAATGGGGATTATGAGTACCACTGATTCAAATTACAGTAGATAGGGTCTAAAACTAGCAAATATTTTTAGATCATACTTCATAAACTTTGATAAAATACCTTTGAATACTAGCTGTACAGCTATGGCAATTTGAGATGAGTACTTATCTTGTGTGTATGTGTGTGTGTGTGCAGGCATGCCTACTGTGCATCCGGAGGGTTTTGTGTGCTCTTGGGCTCCAGGACACTTCCAAGAAAATTAACACAATCTTGCAGCTCCAGAGACTGGTCCCCTGAGTGGATTCACTGTACTGCTCTAGACGAAATTATTGCAGTCAGCTTTGGGGGCCATATTTTTAAAGCTGCATGCTTATCAGAAAGAGACCAAGATGAAAAGGGACTGAAAAGCAATATTTTGAAAACAGTCAAGAGAGGAAAGACTTTTTTGTTCCCCTAGAGAAGACAATGCTTGGCAAAGAGAACTATAATTAAGTATTTTAAAAGCAATGATATGAAACATTTCATTAATTCCATCTAACAGCAGAGGGCTGAGCTATGACCAGTGCATAAAAGTTAGTTACAAAGAAGAAGATTCTCCTCAATAGAGAGAAAGTGTTCTGATAATGAAAGCTGTCAGAAATCAAATTGCTTGTATTGTCAGGCGGTATGATTCTGCTCTGTCAGTATTGGCGCTGCCTTGGGTATTCTCTTGGCAAAGATGCTTAGGTAGGTTTCTTAACTTACATGAGGGCTAAAACTAGATGACTCCAAAGGTCTTCTTAAGTTCTGAATTCATAATCATATAAGAATAAGAGAAATTAAAATATGTAACTCAATCAAGTTAGCCCAAAATAGAATTGACTCTCTTTTTTAAAATGACTCAGCAGTTCTTGATATTAATATGGTTGCTCAAGTTGATCTGATTATTTGAAGCCGATAATGAAAAAAATACACTATCCCTATTAGATTAAATACACTATCCCTATTAGATTAAATACACTATCCCTATTAGTTCAAGATGATCCTTAGCAATGGCCGACATTGTGCCTTGTCTTTTCAGTCTCTCCCAAGAACACAGTTATCTCTGTGACACCCTCCACAAATCTACAAGAAGGTGGATCTGTGACCATGACGTGTTCTAGTGATGGTCTGCCAGCTCCAGAGATTTACTGGAACAAGAAATTAGATAATGGGAATCTACAACTCCTTTCTGACAATGCAACTCTCACCTTAATTGCTATGAGGATGGAAGATTCTGGAATTTATGTGTGTGAGGGAGTTAACCTGATTGGAAAAGATAAAAAAGAAGTGGAATTAATTGTTCAAGGTAAGTAGAATGCGTAAAAGGAAGAAAAATAGCAGCATTGGTATTAAAGTTGCATTAAACTGGCTTCAATGTGGAAATTAATTCCTTTTAAGTCCACATTTCTGATTCTTTTCCCACTCTCATCATTTATTTACTGGATCATGGCCTGGTTTACACTTTTTGCCAATCCCTTATTATATTGGTATTGTCAAGTTTTCAAGCCTGGTCCTCTTCTCATCTCACTGTAAACTTTCAGAATATTAATGACCATATTCAAGTTACTCCCAAATTCATGTTCCCATTCCAAATTATCAAATCAGTTCAGTTCTCCTTCAAAATGATTCATATAATTGATCTTTCTCCCCCTTTCTTCCTTCCATTGCCTTAGTTCATTATCTGTTACTTGGATTCCTGAAAGATGTTCTTAAACATGTATTGAACATTAACTATGTTCCAGACGCTTACATATATGTTGTTGTTTATTGCCATTGAGTTGAGGACAACTCATAGTGAACCTACAAACAAAAGGCCCAAAGTCTTTCTATAATTATCGTCGTTTCTCCAAGTTCATAGAGTTTTCAGAGGCATGTCGTTTAGGAAGTGGATGCCACTCCTGCTTCCAAACTTGAATCAATCTGGAAACTCCACCAATCACTGCCCACCATGGGTAGCCATTATGGTGTTTGGCACACCTATGGCACAGTTGTTCCATTATGGCATTTGAAACCCAAATTACACAAGATTCAGTGTCACAGCAAACCCAGATTACCTCATCTCACCAAATTGGCCAGAGTGCTGTATGACTTAGAAGAATGTTCCTCCAAAAATATAGTAACAAAGGATTAAAATATAATCCTTCAGACCCAACTTTTAAATATAATGGTCCCCCAGGAGGTCATGTTGACTCTAAACAAGAGGCTTAAAGAAAAACAACAAAATAATCCACACAGATCTTCAACCAAAACAAGAGCACCATCATACAGACTCCAGCTGCTTCATCCCACTCCAAAATGAAGACAGGGACTTTGGCATTACAGGTTGTTGGTAAGTGCTATCTAGTATTAATCCTATGAACAAAAGAACTATTGTCCTTCTTCTAAGTTCATAGAGTTTCCACAGGCATGTTTAGGAAGTGAATGCCAGTCCTGCTTCCAAGCCTGTCTTAGTGAGCTCTGTCATTGTCAACCATGTGTAACCATTATGATATTATGGTGCACCATTCAATATTACAGAATCCAAAGTTACCTCAGTACAGAGCAAGGACAGAACAGTGCTGTACCACTTAGGAGAATGCTCATTTCAAAGACAATTACATATATGTGATCTGTAAAATAGTTACTGAAAGTAAATACTTTTTATCCATTTTATAAATTGGAAACTAGAGCCTCACAGAGAGATTAATAGCTGTTGTGTGCTGTTGAATTAGAACGGATTCATAAGTGACCCTCCAGTGGGTTTTCAGAGACAGTAAATCACATGGGAGGAGATTGTTAATCCTTCTCCTATAGATCAGCTGGTGGATTCTAACTGTGTGCCTTTGGGATTACAGTCCAGCTTCTTACCATTGTTGTTAAGTGTCATCAAGTCTCCTGTGACAAATAGCAACCCTATATACAATAGCAGTGAATGTTGCTCTATCCATAGCCAGTTTTACTGTCTCTAACACACCTACCCCCATTACCCCAGTTACTGTGTCCATCTCATCACAGTCTTCCTCTCCTGTGCTGTTCCTCTGCCCTTCCAAGCATGATGTCCTTTTGGGGGGCCTGGCTCTTCCTAGCCACATGCCCAAAGTATGTGAGATGGAGCTTCTAAATCCTTATCTCCAAGGAGCAGCCTGGTTTTACCCTCTCCAGGATAAACCTGTTGTTCTCTTGGCATTCCATGGTATGTTAAATACTTTTCTCCAGCACCACAACTCATAAACATCAATTCTTCTTCTGTCAACCGTAGTCATTGTCCAGTTCTTTGATACATAGCAAGTAATTGTGAAGATCATGGCTTGAATCAGGTGCATCTTAGTCTACAGACTGACATCATTGTTCTTTAGCACTTTGGAGAGGTCCCTGATAGCAGCTTTGCACAGAGCAATTTGTCTTCTGATTTCTTGACTGCTGGTGCTAAGAGTGTTAATCGTGGATCTGAGCAAGCTGAAAGCATTAACCTCAATCTCCTCTCTAACATGATGCTTCAAACTGGCCCAGTGATGAGAATATTTCTCTTCTTAATGTTGAATTTCAATCCATATTGATGACTCTAAACCTTGACCTTCTGCATCAAATACTTCGGGTCCTCCTCAGTTTTGGCAAGCAAGGTTCTATCATCTACATAATGTAGGTTGTTGATGAGTCTTCCTCCAATCCTGATGCTACATTCCTCATCATAAAGCCCAGCCTCCTGAATGATCTGTTCTGCAAATAGATTGAAAAGGTATGGAGAGAGGATGCATCCCTCATGTGCTCCTTTCCTGATTTTGAACCATGCAGTGTTTTCTTCCTCTGTTCCGAAAACTGCTTCCTGCTCCAAGTATAGGTTTCACATGAGCACAATCAAGTGCTCTGGAATTTCCGTTTTTCTCGTTAGCTACAATTTGTTGTGATCCACACAATCAAATGCCTTTGCATAGTCAATAAGTCAATGAAACACAGAGAGGCATTCCTCTGGTATTCTTTGCTTTCAGCCAAGATTGATCTGATCTCAGCAATAATATCTCTGGTGCCAATCCTGTTCTAAAACTGACCTGTGTTTCTGTTAGTTATCTGTTGACGTACTGTTCAAGTCATTTTTGGATAATCTTCAGCAGGATTTTGCTTGTGTGTGACTCAATGATGTTGTTAGGTAATTTCCACAACCTATTGGGTTACTCGTTTTTGAAATGTGAACAAATATCATTCTCTTCCAGTCAGCTGGCTGGGTAATTGTCCTCTAGATTTCTTGGCACAACTTGGTGAGCACGTCTTGAGCAGCATCTGTCTGTTGAAATATATCAATTGATATTCCATGAATTCTTGGGGCCTTCTTTTTTGCCAATTCCTTCAGAGTAGCTTGAACTTCCTCCTTTATCACCATTGTCTCCTGATCATATGTTATTTCATAAAATTCTTCCATGCCAGCCAGTTCTTTTTGATACAGAGACTCTGTGTACTCCTATCTTCTTGTAATGCTTCCTGGATCATTTAATAGTCTGTCCATAACATCCTTAAATATTGTCATTCAGGGCTTGAATTTGTTCTTTGGTTCCTTTAGCTTAAGACATCCTCCCTTTCAATTTTCCAACTCCAGCTTTTTGCACTTTTCATTATGATATTTTGCTTGGTCTTCCTAGTCTGGTCTTTGAAATCTTCTGTTTAGCTCCTTAACTTTCCTATTCCTTCCCTTTGCTTTGGCTTCTTGGTGCTCTAGTGCAAAATAATTCATTAGTGGCATGATAGTGACTCTTAACACAGGCCCATTTTAGTACAAAATCACATAATCATATGCATGCACTGCTACTGGAGTTACGAACTTTAAATGAAAGAGGTGCTCATTTTATGAATTCAACAGCAATTCTAATTTTACAGAAATTAAAATTACATTTCTTAAAATAGACACATAAGACTTCACAATCTGACCAGAGACTACCACTGCTGTTTCAGTGGTGACTTTAGCCTCAGTGCCTGCAATTGCTTTTGCCTGGACTGCTCTTTTCCGTTCCTTCACTTGGCAAACTCTTACCAATGCCTCCAGACAAAGCTCATTCCAGCCTCTCAATTCTAGACCCTCTTCGACAAAGTTAGTCATTTCTCCCTTTGTCCTCACTCAATTCTTATACATGTGCATGCACTTCTGTTCACATGGCAACTGCCCTGGGTAGAAAGGAGCACTTAAATTTTCAAAAAAACCCCCAACCTATTAAAAATATGCAATTTGAATATATTTTAGAAATTGCCAAAAATGACACGTCTTTCAAATGTATCTTTCCATTAAACAGTAAGCATCAATGTCAATGTCAGAATCTCCATCCTTTGTTGATGTCTGTGTTTATTAATGTTTGGGTTCCGAGTGCAGTTCTTGGTATATTAGTACATTAAGCACAGAAAATGCTTAATGAGTGTTTATTGAATAAATTATAAATATAGGCAACACAATTTTTTGAAGGAAGCATTTAAGTATCAAAAATTTAAATATAGAGTTTAAACTTAAATAGATAAAATAAAGTTCAACCTCACAATCAGTGAATTAACCCATTTGGATATTTGATTGTTGTTGTTATGTGCCATCAAGTTGCCTTCAACTCATAGTGACCTTATGTACAACAGCTCTGAACTCTGCACTGTCCTGAGCCAGTATCATCTTCAACCAAGTTAATCCCATTTCTCCAGTCACTGAGTCAATCCATCTCATCCTGGGTCTTCCTCTCCTGCACTGTCCCCCCACCCTTCCAAGCATTATGTCCTTATCCAAGGACTGGGCCCTTCTGGCCACATACCCAAAGTATGTGAGACAGAGCTTCAAAATCTTTGCCTCCAGGGAACAGCTTGGTTTCACCCTCTCTAGGACAGACTTGTTTGTTCTCATAGTGGTGAGAAGCTTTGTTTTGTAAATGCTGGGCTTCAGTCCATACTGAAGACAATAGTAGTTGACCTTCTGCAGCATACACCGTATGTCCTCTTTAGTTTCAGCAAGGTTGTGTCATCTGTACAATGCAGGTTGTTGATGATTCTTCCTCGAGTCCTGATGCCACATTCCTCCTCATAAAGTCCAGCCTCCTGAATGATCTGTTCTGCATATAGATTGAAAAGGTATGAAGATAGGATGCCTCCCTGACACACACATTTCCTGATGTAGTGTTCCAAGTATAGGTTTCACAACACAATTATGTGTTCTGAGATCCTCATTTTACTCAAGGTTAGCCACAATTTGTTGTGATCCACACTGTCTAATGCCTTTGCATAGTCTATGAAACACAGATAGGTATTCCTCTGGCACTCTCTGCTTTCAGCACGGCTTCTTCTTAACCCAATCTGCACATCTGGCAGTTCTCTGCTAATAATGTTCGGTTATATTCCCAAGAAACTATGAAAGATATCTGACTAATAAAAGCAAGCAAAGCTAATCATTGATCCTGGAATAATTTCACTATTTCAAAAATGCTCTGTCATTTTAATGATGAAATTCTAGGTTCGGGAAAGGTTATTATGTAATTGTATCATGGTAGTATACTAACTTATTTAACTGCGGAAGATAGAATTGACAGAACTGAACCTGAAAAGCCCCTTCTCAGTTAGCTAAACTAGTTATCCCCGAGGGACCACAATTCACCTTGTGAAATAAGCAGCTACAGACAGGAAATTGATCTGTTATTAAAGATTGTCATTCTCACACGGGTGTATAAGTAATTGGGGAAATGTTGGCTATTATTCCAAATGACCTTTCTCTTTTAAAATAAGTTTTCTGAGATAATTTGGGTAAAGTTTTCTTTAGACAATACTAAAATGTCACAATTAGAAGAACCAATTTTAAAAGAATAACTTCTCCTAGCACAAACTCAAACCTTGCCAAATCCAGTGTGTTTAATTTATTTACTTGCTGAGATTTCCTTCCTCTATCCCCAGCCTGGTATTTACAATTTTGGAGGTTTTATTTATTTCCTGTGGACTCTCATCAACATTGTGGAGTTGGCCAATCACTTCCCGTTTCTTCAGGGAACAGAGGGCCAGGATTTGAGATTCCTTTCCCCATAAACATCAGTCATTTGAAATATGTCCAGGCACCCAGCAGGGAGATTTCTTAGCCAAACCATTTTCTGGGATACTTGAGATGTAGAGTTTGCCCTCACATCTCAGCTTTTAAGCCTCTGAATTAACTGTAAAGCTTTTTCTGTTACTTCAAACAAAGTTTAGAGATGTACCACTCTAATAGTTAAGCTTTACCTTGTGCTCAATTTATTTCAGTGCAATTTTAGTGGTGTCGCTTTTTATTGTTCAGAGGGAAACTCTAAGCACTTCTCTATTAGAAGTATTACATCCAGTTAGTAGACTTTTTTAGTAACTATTTTCATTGTTGTTTGGTTTTTTTTTTAATAAATGTATGTTTCAGTAACTGAAAGCTTTGTATTGCAAATTAAACCTACCTTGATTTATGTCTTAAATTTGCAACTTTTATAGTTATTCAACATTTGTAAATTTAAATTTTCCAAAGAAAGAGAAGAAAGAATATTACTCATTTATAAAACTATTGTACTAAGGATTAAATGAAATGAAATACATAACATGCTTTGCACAGCATCTGACATACAGGAATGATTTATACTATATGAGCTATTATCTTTTATTGCAATGGCTTGAGAAACTATTTTTTGACAAAAGACTGTATTATTGATATGGAAAGATGCCAGCCTCTGCCTAGACATTTTTTTTACCACATTCATCCAGTAAAGTGAATGAATCAATGGACTATCCTGATTTCATTCTTAGAAAGATGTGATGTCATTCCTGATGGTTCCAAGATGAAAGGGAGTAATTTCTTGTTGGGAGTGATAATTAGGTAATAAAAGAACTCAGGATTCAATATACTGGATTGTAACAAATGAAGAAAGGAATCGTACCTTCTTTTTGCTTTGTTCTTTCTCCTACAGAGAAACTATTTGCAGTAGAGATCTCCCCTGGCTCCCAGATTGCTGCGCAGATTGGGGATTCAGTAGTGTTGACATGTAGTGTCACAGGCTGCAACTCGCCATCTTTCTCTTGGAGAACCCAGATTGACAGCCCACTCAGTGGGGAGGTGAAAAGCGAGGGGACCAAGTCCACACTGACCCTGAGTCCTGTTGGCTTTGAGAATGAACGCTCTTACTTATGTTCAGTGACATGTGGACGTAAGAAGCTGGAAAAAGGAATCCAGGTGGAGCTCTACTGTAAGTATTTTTCAGAATGGTTTATTTCATTTTATTTTTTTAAATTCACTTGAGGAAAAAGCCAAGAATGTGTGCTTGTGATAGTCAGTGTGACTACTGTTTTGAAGCTCTCTCTTACATACTTTGAACATGTTGCAAGGTGGGATCAGTCCTTGGAGAGGGACATCATGCTTGGGAGAGTGGAGCAACAGCTCAGGAGAGGAAGACCCTTGATGAGATGGATTGATTCGGTCACTGGGGTCATGGGGATAGTTGTATCAGAGACAATAAAATTGGTAAAAGATAGAGTAGGGTTTAGGGGGTTTAGGGCTGTCGTACATAGGGTCACTATGAGTCACAAGCGACTTGACGGCACATAACAACAACAACAAACCAATGTTTAGAAGGGGAATTCAGCATTGTGTTGTGGTTCCTAAGAGTCTTTCAGGGGCAGAATTCTTGCTCTCTATGCAGGAGATCCTTGAACATGGTGGAGATCATGAAGTTAGCACAGGATAGGATAAGTTTTGCATTTGTTGTTCAGAAGGCCCTTAAGAGTGATAGTCGACTTGATGGCACCCAGCAATGTACAGGAGACTCAATTCAGCTAAGCAATTCACCTCGTGTGCAACCCCCACCCCTGTGCCAGTGGAGAGGTTACATGCTGCTATGATACTGAAAAGATTTCAGTGGCGCTTCCAGAATAGGACTAGGAAGAAAAGTCAGGTGATTTGTTTTTAAAAACTTAGCCAGTGAAAACCCTCTGAATCACCAGGGTTTGATCTCATTGGTTTTGAGAACACCATGAAATAGGGACCAAGTCAATAACAACTAACAATACGGCTTCGACTCTGACCCAGAATCACCTGTCGCAGCGTTATCAGACTAACCTTCAGCATAGACTGCACATGTACACGGCAGTCCCAGTCATTCATTTTAGGTTTTGTCATATGCTCCTCATTCATTTGAACACACCAGAGCTTTTTCTATGTTGTTATTCGATTAGAGGTACTGGTGAGCAAGAAGCAGGGGGAAATCACTCAGCACTAAAATCAGAGACACTGCCCCATTAATGGCCAGTGTCCATTCAGTTGGCTGGTTGGGAGAACTGCTGCTCAATCATTGGATTTGACTGAACCTATTGAGTTTGAATGTGTATTTGAAAAGCCACGAGAGGGAAAATCCATTAGGCAAAAGTGTGCAAGGGGAAGCCAGCTATTGAGACAGGAAGTTAGACTGAATGTGGAGGTATGAGGAGAACAGCTCAGGTGAAAGCACAAAAAACACCTGCTTCATACTGATTTACACTGCCATTTTTAATCTACACGTTTACTTACTGGTCCTGTCACTTTCATACAAGTTCCTCACTGTGAATCTCAAAGAACTTGACCTCACTGCAGTTTCTCTGTTTATTGAGAATGCAGAGAACCAAAGAGGCAAAGTGACCACAAAGTTATTTCTTTCAGACAGAAATTCTGCCTTATTGTAATTCACCAGAATTTAAGGGAACATATTGTAGACATTTTTCACCAGAAACCTTGCCCAAATGAGTGTTACCCATCAGGATTTTGTCCAGAATGAGTTAGAGTAGGTCTGTAAAGAGGTTTGAAGCTCTCCAAAGAAGGGTAAATTTTACTGCCTTATCACGTTACACAGAGCCTAGGATCTGCTTATGTAGGCACATTCCCAACAGTAATGAGAACCAGAGGTGAAGTTTTATTGCAATGTGGAAATATTTGAGAAAGTATCACTTTAACAACATTTTGCTTAAGGAAATTTTTTTCCTTACTATTGCTCTTGCTTATCTTAACCAGATGAGTCTTATTCTTATTAATTTTTATTGGATGCATTAGACATATTTTTATATACAAGCTAAATCTTCTATAGGTCCCCCCCCGCCTAAAAACTACAAGTACTATCTGAGAAACTTTTAAACCTTGCTAGCTAAATATATTTTATGCTGGTTCTGATCTCAACTCAGTGACTCATTAAGTGTAATGCACAATGTAAGTCTTCAATTGTGTACAAGTGTCCTTTTTCCTCCCTGTAAGATAATTAGAGGCATAACTTGAAGATAATGAGGGGTTCAGATCAAGGATACTATAGTAAATTGAATATTGCAACAGAGAAGGTCACGTGAATATTTTGGTTTCCCAGTACATACAGAAGCTGCACACAAACTATACAGAGCACCCAGCAGCTGTAGTCTACTTAGTGTATGATAATGTGAAAAAGTTTGAAATAGTGTGGAAATGACAAATATGTGACACAGAGACATGAGTGGGCACATGTTGTTGGAAATGTGCCAGTGCACTTGCTTGATACAGGATTGCCACAACCTTCTATTTGAGAAGAATTCAGTATCTGGTAAGTGCAATAAATTGCAGTGCAGTAACATGAGATATGCTTGCAACATGAGTTTTATAAACATTTGAAATATGTACTAAATAAGATGGCAGAAGCTGAGAACTCCTTAGGAAAAACGAGGCTATGCTGCCCAGAAAGACTCCATTACCAAAAAAAGAAAACTAAGAAGTATTATTTATACTTTGATTCCTGGAGAGTTAAAGTGGTTTGTGCGTGATTTCCTTGCATCTTGGGTACCAGCTGGAAGGTTGGCTAGGAGATGGTTCCAACTCAAAGGCAATGAATATAGGACATTCTGGGATATTAGCCTCAGGGACTTAGTGGCACTGCTAAACTAAAGGCCATTCCACCATTCTCGTCTGGTGGTTTGAATCCACCAGTGACTCCATGGAAGGAAGATGGGCACTCCTCTTCCGTTCTATTTACAGCTTCAGAAATCTAGGTCAGCTCTGAGTCATGATGAGTTTGCTCCCACAAGTGACAGTGAGACTGAGGGTTTTTTGAGTGATTTGTTGTTATGTACCACCGAATCAGATCTAATGCATAGCTGAGCCTCCAGCAGGTTTTCAGAGGCAGTAAATCACACAGGAGGAGATGGCCTACCTTTCTCCCTCAGAGCAGCTGGGGGATTTGAACTGCTTTCAGGCTGCCAAGGTAGCTCTCCTTGCCACTAGACCACCAGAGCTCTACCTTTTTTTGAGTGAATATGACCCTCACCGAAATGGATAGGCACAGTGACTGCAGCAATAGGCTGAAGGGTGTCAGAGATGATGAGGATGGCACAGGATAGGTCAAGGTTCAGATCTGTTGTTCATAGTATCACTATGAGTACTTGCCTTGATGGCACCTGACGACAACAACTAATCTCAAAGTTGGCAGTTTGAACCCGAGTCATCTGCTTTTGTAAAGATCACAGCCAAGCAAACCTTATGGAGAAGAACCACAACTGTGCTTTAATACCTGGGGTTGCCATGAGTTGGAATCAACTTGATGTCAATGGATTTGATTTATTATGAGATGGCTTGATGAACTAGGTGTTGCTTTTGTTTCCAGCATTATTTATGTATAATATAATAAATATTTGTAAGTATTTAAGTAATTACATTTAAGTATTAAAATGTCATCATTCATATATTGATTGCTTATCTTAGAAAAGTTAAAGCTGTCATTTGGAGATATTTGTATTTAGTAAAGATTAGTTCCATGTTTTCCTTAAATGACACATAAACAACATTTTTTTGTTTGATATTTGCAGCATTTCCAAGAGATCCAGAAATTGAAATGAATGATCTTCTAGTGAGTGGAAATCTTGCCACCGTAACCTGTAGGGTCCCTGATGTGTACCCTTTTGACCGATTGGAGATTGAATTACTTAAAGGGGAGAGTATCATGAAGAAGGAAGTCTTTTTGGGAGACATGGATAGACAATCTCTAGAGAACAAGAGTTTGGAAATGACCTTCACTCCCACCACCAAAGACACTGGAAAAGTTCTTGCTTGTCGGGCTAAGTTAAATATTGATGGAATGGAGTTTAAACCCAAACAAAGGGAGAGTACACAGACACTTTATGTTAACGGTAAGTACATGTGTATGTGTCCACAATTCTGTATAGATTTCTTCATCATGTGTTCTAGGTAGTCGTTAATAGGAGGTCAATAGTTGAAACTTCTTTGGAAAAATATACTGACAGAAGATTTCCAAGTGGTGATTATAACAATATACTCCCCAAATTGGAAACAGTAACCAATTATTTTGATCAGCTAGATAGTTGATTTGCTCAAACTCATCCATTCATTGTTGCAAGTTGATGAGGGGCTGTCTGGTCCCAAACACTCTCATGTTTGAGTCCTTAGCTTAAGATGTGTGGGCCTCTCTTCCTCTAGGTGATGTCCTATCCTCAAAGCAATTCACTTAGACTTGCTCACTGGGGCACAATGTTTCTTTCAAGGTGGATGCAAGGAAGTACCTCTTTCACTAGCATGAAAGCTTCCAAGTCCTACAGTGTTACTTCTCTCTTATTTTAGCTAGAGCACGTTATATGGCCAGCCCTGATACAAGGGCTTAAAAATAGACCCAACCTTCTGATAAGCTTTAATTCCTCTTGTCAATGCATGCTGTCACTGAGAATTTTTTTTTGTAGCCAAGGGGAAATCTATAGAGCTTAACTTCCACTAGAAAATATTCATGAAGTGTCTCTGTATCACTCTATTAATGTAAATGGCAAGTTAGGGACAGAAACCACCTTTGATAAAGTGTGTAAGTTTTAGAAATTGTTCTATCTACCAAATTCTAATAGTCTTTTGCAACATTATTGAAACTCTGGGTTTAAGAGGTTAAGCTAACAAGTGGCTTTCCTTTTCAGTTGCCCCACAGCTTCCAGTCATCCAGGCTAGCCCCTCAACCACCCTGAAGGAAGGCAGCTTTGTGAATCTAACATGTTATAGCGATGGCCTTCCAGCCCCAAAGATTCTGTGGAGCAAGCAGCTAAGTAATGGAGCTCTACAGCCTCTTTCTGAAAATACAACTCTCACCTTAATGTCTGCCAAGATGGAAGACTCTGGCATTTATGTGTGTGAAGGGATTAACCAGGTTGGAAAAAGCAGAGCTGAAGTCAAATTAGTTATTCAAGGTGAGTAGGACATAATTCTGTAGTATTCTTGATATGGTTACTTTGGTTTTGTTACTAAATGTGGACAAAATTATCTCTGGAAATACAATTTTTCCTTGAAAAGGTTTATTTGGGGCTTTGATGAGTCCATGTTGTTTCCTCTGAATGGAAAGTTCCTGGAATGGTTCTTTCCCAAGAACTGTTCCAAAGTTACCTGTCCTGAAGCTCTATTAACCTCACATGGAAAGCCAGCTCCAGGAACATGATAAGGGTTCCAGCTACACTTATCACTCAATAGTTATGCTCTGGAAGGAATCACTAAAGATGAGGTAGATATGTATTTGGCCATTTATTTAAGACAAAACCCCTCCTCTCTGGTTTAAGTGGATTGTGAGTGGAACTCTCAAGGGACCAGCTATTATTTGCTCAGAAGCCTGACAAAAAAAAACCCTCTAAAAAAACAAAACAAAACAAAAACACACACCCTTCTATTTCACTGTCACAGAGTCAGTTTGACTTGTATCAAACCTCTATCAGATTTCCAAGATGGTAAATCTTAAAAGGAGCTCTGGTGGTCTAGTGGCAAGAAGCTGCACTGCAATCCTGAAGGCATTTGGTTCGAGTCCACCAGCTGCTCAGCTGGAGAAGGATGGGCAAGTTCCTCCCATGTGATTAACTGCCTCTGAAAACCTGCTGGAGAGGTCAGCTATGGCTCTATTCCGACTCTATAGTACACAACAATAACAACAACAAATCTTACTGTAGGGAGACTGCCTGTCTTTCTCCCTCAGAGGAACTGGTGGATTTGAACTGTCAACCTTATGGTTTACGGTCATGAAAACTACTTAGTATTAGCTCTCCACCAAAGGCACCCCCTTTCACCCCGCACTTAAGTGGATTCCAACTCACAGTGACTTTCCTTTGGCTTTCCAAGGCAGTATATCCTTATGGAGGGAGACTTCCCATCTTTCACCTAAGAGCAGCGAGTGGATTCAAACTACTAACTTTTCATTTCGCAGTTTAAATCATAGCACAGTACATCACCAGAGCACCTAGTGCCTGGCAATTAATGAGAGGTAATTCTGTTTGTTAAGGGTAGAAAAACCTCTTTAAAGTTTAATTTCTTCATCTAGGAAAGTCCAGTTTAAAATTCAGAGGTCTGTATAAATGGCTTGATTATTCAAGGAAATATTTTTATAAAGTAACATAAAATTTTTTTATTTTCTTCTTTACATTTGAATTCTATAGCTTTTTACTACTCTGCAAAGGGCTTAGTACTTAAAGGAAAAAGTCTACACAATAATGTAACAACAAAAATAATAACACCCCTAAACATATTTTCTTTTTAACATTTGAATTCCACAGCTGTTTATAATTCTGTGAAGGGCCTGGTACATCTGAGAAAAATGCTGCAAAGTAATGTAACAACAACAAAATCCCTCTTAATTTTCTTCTTTTTCTGCATCTGAGTTCTATAGTATAGGTGTTTGTTAAACACCTACTTTTTGTGCTAGGCTGACTAAATAATATGAGTGAAGAATGAGACATGTCTTCCTTTCAATAAAGGAATAATCATTTGCAGCATTCCAGAAAACACTTTACCTGTTTACATGCCCCTCTAATCGTCTAATACAAACAGGATAAAATAAGCACTAGTCACCTCCTTGACAGCTATAGTTTCTGGCATAAGTTAGTATGAAATTGGTTTATATTTTACTCAATCAGTGGTGGCTTTTAAATTCTCTTTACAGTTGCCCCAAAAGACATACAACTTACAGCCTTTCCTTCTGAGAGTGTCAAGGAAGGAGATACTGTCATTATCTCTTGCACATGTGGCAATGTTACCGAAACTTGGATAATCTTGAAGAAGAAAGCAGAGACGGGAGACAAGATGCTAAAATCGATAGGTGGTACTTACACTATACGCCAAGCCCAGCTAGAAGATGCAGGAGTGTACGAATGTGAATCTAAAAATGAGGTTGGCTCCCAATTAAGAAGCTTAACACTTGATGTTAAAGGTTAGTTAGTTTCCTCTTCTTTTTAACAGTTGGGAGGTTTGGTGGATTGTAAAACTTTCCGGCAACTAGATGAATGAGTTGTAAAAATAGACCTGAATTCCACGTTGATGGTAGTTAACTTTTTAAATGTTTCCTGAAGTAATCAAGCCCAGCTGTGCTCTCCTACAGAGTTTAGCCAGGAAGCTGCCATTAATCATTGGTTCATGTGGAATAGCCATTTGCTTTTCTCAAAGTTGGCCATGCATCACTGGTTTCTGAGATTCTGCATTTGCTAAATGTTTAACCATGTTTGTAAAACTTTTCCCTGGGGGATATGAAGAAACAACAGGCACAAGCAGTTAAGCACTTGACTGTTGACTAAAGGGTTGGTGGCTTGAACCTCCTCAGAGATGCTTCAGAAGAGAGGCCAGACACCCTGCCTCCAAAAGGGCCCGACCTTGAAAATTCTGTGGAGCAGAGTTCTGCTCTGCACATACGGAGTCACCAAGGATGGGAATCGACATGAGGGCAACTATCAACAAACAACAATTCAAAAAAGGAAGCTAGACAGGAGGGGGAAAGGAGTCTACTGAGACCTTCCCGAAGGGAACAAAAGAGTCTCTGGCCATGGAGGAACTATTTCCAGATCGACTCTTTCCTCTTCCAGGATAATAAATAATCCAGGGTGGAACTCTTGATCATGAACCGTAGATTGAATCTTTTCTAATAAAAGAACCTCGAAACTATGGAAGAAGTCCCTGAATGGTACACAGAGTTAAAATATGTGGCTGCTACCCGAAAAGGTAGAAGCTTGAGGTTACTCATTTTCCTTGGAAAAAAGACTTAACAGTCTACTTTCAAATAACCAGTTACTGAAAACCTCATAGAACAGTACCAACACGTGGTGTGAGGTCAAGACGAGTCAGAGTTAACCAGTGGCAACTGGCAATTCGACTGCAGAAAACCAACTATAAATGACGCGGGTATATATAATCAGTGTTCCCATTGAGGCTGAGTATCATTCTGTATGGATGGAGGGCTCAGTTCTTGAATAGGATGAAATGAATGAATTTCTTTTTCTCTAATCCTTGGTACTCAGCAGAGTGCTATCAAGTTGGTCCTACTCTTAGTGGCTCAGCAGTGTCTTTGCCCGTTGGACTGCTATTCAGAAGTTCAGTGTTAGCAATCTACTATCCTTTCCATGGGAAAAATAGAAAGAAATCTCTTTCTGTAAAGATTTATAGCCTCAGAAACCCAGCAGAGGGCTGCTATAAATCACAACTGACTCAACAGAAGTGAGTTTTATATTATGACTCTATATGACCAAAAGAAAGGAAGACTTTAGGTGGATGGGCACAGTGACTATAGCAATAAGCTCAAATATGTCAGACATTGTGAGGATGACACAGGATAGATCAGTGTTCGGATCTGCTGTTCATGAGGTTGCAGTGTGTCAGGCTCAGCTTGAGAGCACCTAACAACAACATAAGACAGAGAAGAACTGCTCAATAGCATTTCTTAGGATGAAGTCTTTAGTAGAAGCAGATTAGTGGTCTTTTCTTCTGGTAGGTTTGAACCTTCTATCTTTTGTTTAGCAACTGAGTACTTAACCACTACACCACCAGGGTTCTTAAACACCCTCACTACTCTCAGGTTGATCCCCACGCATTGTTAATTTCCACTGGATTTCCCAATTTGTAAATATTTAAAGCAGGAGACTGCCTGCCTTTGTACCACAAAGTTGCTGATTTGATCTTCTAACTTTTCAGTTAACATTCAGATAAGCTATGTACTACTCTGCCAGAGTTCCTTACCTCATTGAGCCCAATCCCAGGAAGCTGATGTTCTAACATTTCATCTGTAGTTAACTATTTTCTTCTAAAAGATACAATTAAAGTTTCTTCTCTACTTTTTAAACTCTTTGCCACACAATGTTGTTCTTTCTAGATGTTTTCTTAAATTAACAATTTAGGTATTTGCCATTTTTCATGTTCTGTATGGGAGAAAAGAGGTTAGGAACTCAACTAGAAATTTAGAGTCTCAAACTAAATGTGATTTAGAATGCTATACAGGAAAGGAGACAGAGAATTGACATTTTTCCAGGACTTTGAACTACTCTTTTGTGCTTAGCTGAGGTGTTTGCTTTTTGGTTTGATTGCATCCCAATGTTGGGGATAGTTGGGGGTCATTGAGATTTTTGTTATTTACACAGCTATTAGAAAATTATATTTGAGTGTTTCCCTGGCAATTGACTCAGTGGCAAGTTGTTTGGTGTTTTGTTTGTTTGGTTTTTTTTTTTCCCACTGCAGGAGCCCAAGTAAAAACTGAAGGACAAGATACTATTTATTAAATTGAAAGTAAAGCAGGGAGGACAGAAATGTTACTGTCCGTTTTCACTAGTGATGTCTCATTAAAATTGTAATTAAGGTAGATATTTAATTAAGATGTACTTTGATTAGTTCTGCTCTAGCAAGAAATAGAAATTTGAAGTAATTATCATAATTAAATGCTTTGAACTTCAATAATTTGAAAAATCCCACTTCACATGATACAATCCTAGTAATTCTTTTCCAGTCAATTGGCCTCTAATGATTATCAAGTTCTAGAAGTGGATGCAGTGATCACCAAAATTAGATCTCTCATACATGCCACGACTTAGGCAATGCATACGTCCTTTTGTTGTTGCTGTTCAGTGCTATTGAGCCAACTCACAGCTATTGAGTTTGACTCACAGTGACCTCATGTAACAGGACAGAACTAGGGTTTCCTAGATTGTAACCTTTATGAAAGGAGCTCTGATGTCATAGTGCATGTGTCAGGCTGCTAACTAGGGGTGTGAAGAAATTTAGACAGTCTTTTTCCTTTGAGATGTAGTCTCGGAAACCTGATGGAGGTTTCTGTAAGCAGGATCAGTGTGAGAGCAGTAGGTAGTTTTATAGAAGCAAGTAGCTAGATCTTTCTCCAATAGAACTACTAAATAGATTTGAACCACCAACCTTTCTGTTAGCAGACAGATACTTAACCATTGTTCCAGAAGGGCTTTATTGTATGCTTTTAGTGAAATGTATTTAAGGTTGGAATGTTAAGTAGTATTATAGCTGCCACATAATTTTAAATGACCTAAGGAAAAAAATACTAATTATAAGGTCTTATATGTATTATTTTTCTGTACTCAATAACTAAATGAAAAATGATTGGATATATAAACAAGACAATGTGTATCATTATTTTAAAAAATTATAACATATCAACTGTAGCAAGTATTGAGCCAAATGCTGACTACTCAGTAGTAGACCAAAGAGGAAGTTGACATGCAAGCCCTTAGAATCCAAAGGAGAAAACAAAAGTTAATAAAGAATCATAAAAGGAAATGTGTAGTTACAAATTTCCACAAGGATTTGAAGGGAAAGTGAAGTGGGTTATCAAAGTATGTAGAGATTCCTAATTTAGACTGGAGAAGATGCAGGTCAATGAAAGCATCTCTGAAAATGTTAGGATGAATCATCATATTGTTAAAAGAAATTTAGTTTGTTAGGAAATAGTAGGAATGCTGAAAAGAAGTACTATAAGATGCCCTACTTTGGACATTTACACAGGATGGAAAGTTTTCAGTTTGTCTTGGAATGAGCCATAGACAAGAAGTTTTTCTCTTATTATCATATATTTTACTATACTTGTAGGAAGTCTCTGGGTAGCGAAATTGGGTTTGCACTGCAATGATAACTTAAAGGTTAGTAGTTTGAATCATCTGTGCCAGTATCTGCTTCTGTAAATGTTATTGTGTACCATCGGGTTGGAACCCACCCATAGCTGACTGTCTACGGCTTTTCAGAGGCACTGGAAGAGACTGCTCATCTTTCTTCTGCAGAACAGCTGGTGGATCTGCCTGCATGTTTTCAGGATTGTAGTCCAGCTTTTTACCACTAGGACACGAGCGCTCCCTAATTATGTCTAAGAAAACCCTATGGAGAAGTTCTCTTCTGTAACTGAGTTCAATCTACTTAAAGCCAAAGGTTTTGTTTTTGTGGTTGTCTTGTTTTATACTGGTTACCCCTAAATATCACAAAAGTTTAAGAACTGGTTAGTCTTTTCAGTTCATGATGATCGACATCACAGTTCTTCAGTAGATATTTCTGTTTCTCAAAGGAAATATTCCCTTAATCTTTCTTAAGGTAAATAAGTCCTAAAAAGTTGCGTCTGTTATACAACTGAACCTGAATTTAGTTGAAATGGGTGTCACTGTCATCTCCATATCTGTCATTACCATGGCAACCATCTGCTGATGATTTGGGTAATTTAGAGAAGTATGCAATGTGGGGCTGAGTGTCTCTAACATTGCTTTGATTCACTTTTCTGAGGAGAACTAGTTGTACTGTTACAGTATAATGTGTTACTGTTATTATTATGATTAAACAGTTTCGTTTTGTACTAGACATTAATTGCATCCATTTCTTTATTTTCCAGGAAGAGAAAATAACAACTATTTTTCTCCTGAACTTCTTGTGCTGTATTGTGCATCCTCCTTAATAATACCTGCCATTGGAATGATCGTTTACTTTGCGAGAAAAGCCAACATGAAAGGGTCATACAGTCTTGTAGAAGCACAGAAATCAAAAGTTTAGTCAATGTTCAGAATGCTCATCCAGAAACAGTATTCCTAAGTCCATATTCTTATTACTGCTCATCATTCCATGGGAAGGAAAAAACAACTAGCCAGTTGAACTGAGAGTTGATACTTCCTTGAAGATCATGGGCATGTGGAATGAAAAGACTGCCAGTGCCTCTTGCTAAGAGCAAAAAGCCGAAGGAAAACTCTCTACCTGAAAAAAATAGGCACTGCGGTTGAGATGTGACGATTTGAGCTGCTCTTTGAGGTGTATATACAATAACATAGATTGTAAATATGTAAAATAAAATTATTCCATAGAAATGCTGCTTGGGGGAGCAGCACTCTATATTGAGATCTCCAAAATAATAAAATAGTGTTGTTTGAACTAATTGTTATAACTTAACAGATGTGGAAAATTTAATATTGACTGGCAGCTGATCTAGGTCACCTTTTTTATATTTTATTTCTTTTAACAAAATTTTATTCCTATAAACTTTGTTGGCAACAATGTAATGTTTTGTCAAAATACCAGGGTCTTATTTTTTATAAGAAATGATAAGCCAAGAGGGCACTAGGACTGAATTTCAGGTACTAAACATCTCAGTCTCTAATGAGGCAATGGCTGACTGAATTTTCTGTATGGTACTGACATGGTACGGAGATGTTTTATGATGTTGTTTGCTCATAAGACTCTTGTATAACTTTCCTAATGTAGTCTAAAAATTCCACTTCTTTTTATTTTCTTTTGTATATGCTTAGATTTTTTTATAGTAAAGTGATAATTTCTGAAACTGGATATTTGTGTATTTTTTTTAAGTAAATGGCCTCCTTTGCTCATATTATAGCTTTCTGTGCAATGCTCAGTTCCACAACTAGAGAGCCCCAAACGAAAGTTGATAAAGACTTGATAAAAATTCCAAGTTTTGGCTCCCATCCGAATCTATTGAATGAATTGGAATATCTGCAGTGGGGTTCTTAGGATCTGTGATTTAAAAACTTTAAAATAAACCATATGTAGAGTGAATATAGATGAACCCACACACATTGAAGAGTAGTAAATGAGCCCTTGGGTATAAACCACCAAGGTATAGGAATATAGCTTTGCCATTCTCAGAGCCTCATAAATGCCATTCACAGATCAAAACTCCCGACACTGAACAATAACCTTCTGAATTACATATTGACCATTCCTTGCCTTCTATTTAGAGTTTTTATATCTTTGTTCTCGTGTGCTATCAAATTGATTCCAACTCATAGAGGCCCAATTGGCCACTGTGAAGTTTAGAATGGAACTGCCTTATAGAGTGTTCCAGGCTCTGATTTTTTTTTTTATTTTTAAAATATTTTATTGAATGGTAGTAGCTTGAGAGATCTTTTCTCCTGCAGGATTCCAGTCACCAATCTTTCTCATAACAACCTCCATGCTTAAACACTGTGCCATCACGGATTCTATGTGTAGCCCTAAACAGTATGTTGCTTGCCAGCTTTTGTTTTATACACATTATACGGTAAATATCCCTATAACTACTATAATCTACTAATAAAGTTGAACGTGTGTGGCACAGTGAGTCTTGCCTGCTATGGTCTTAGGTCTTTTCTAGTGGAATACCAATCTCCTCTGTAAACTTTGATTCAAAGCACAATAAAAAGTTAAAAAGAAAACCAGAAATCATTTTCCACCTGTGGTTGAAGTTTAAGTTATTTCGGAAAAGAATTTTTTTTCAGCTCTATCTTGTGTTCTTAAAAACTACTTGGAAGGGAGCTCTGATGGCCTAGTGGCTAGAAGCTGCACTGCAATCCCAGAGGAGCATGGTTTGAATCCACTAGATGCTCTGCTGGAGAAGGAGGGACAATCTCACCCTATACCAGTCAGATTCGATTTGACGGTACACACACAAAAAATAATAAAATTTAGACAAACAAACAAGGAAAAACCTACTTGGAATTGGTTGCCATATGCAATGTAAGATATGTGGTGTCTAATTTCACATATTTTTGTACGGTAAAGCACGTGTTCCTACACTGTCTTGGAGCGTACACTCTTTCACAGTACGTTATATCACTTTTGTTATGTATGCATCAGATGCCCTTGAGGGTCTGTTTCTGGATGCTTTGCTCCGGTCACTTAGCATATTTGTCTATTGTGCCAATACTACCATCACCATGATTCCAACTCTTGGACATCCCCTATGTCAGAGTAGAGCTTTCTAGAAAATCTTTACCTATGCCATAACCACAAAGATTTTCTTTTAGAAACATTATATTTGTAGTAATGTGATCCAAATGGTATTAATTAACTTGCTGTTGTTATTTGCCATCAAGTTGCCTGCGACTCATAACAACACTATGTATAACAGTTCTGAACCCTTCCCTGTCCTGAATCAGACTCACTGATTCTGGCACACCTAATCTCATTGCCCCAGTTATCCTCATCCTTTGTGTTTCCATATTTGAGGACTCAGTCTCAGTTGCCATATTTGCTAATCTACTCTATGTATGCTCTATTATACACTGGATTTTTGAAGGCCTGTTATTTTGGAAGTGGATGGCCAGTTCTTCTTGGTCTGCCTTAATATGAATGCTCAGCTTCAGAACTATATCTGACAGACAAGCTAATTACAAAGGAAAATGACCAAAAAAGTGAAATGATAGTCAAATGTCAGAATCATCAAATTTAAATGATTGGTGATGCTTTTCAGTTTAATTGAAATGAGAAATCAAAGAATTTAGAAAAGAACTAAAGAGCAAACAGATAGTCTATTCCTATTGTTTCTTACCTTGTTATTGTTATGTGCCATTGAGTTGATTGTGACTCATAGTGACCCTATGTACAATAGCTCTAAATCCTGGCCTATCCTGAGCAAGTTCACTTCTCTGACACATCTATCCCCAGTATCTCAGTTACTGTATCAATCCTTCTCCTCCAAGATCTTCCTTTCTTGAACTGTCCCTCCACCCTTCCAAGCACGAGGTTCTTCTCCAAGGGCTGGTTCCTTCTGGCAACATGTCCAGAGTAGGTCAGACAGAGCTTAACAATCCTTGCCTCCATGGAACAACTTGGTTTCATCCTCTTGAGGACAAATTTGTTTGTTCTTTTGGCAGTCCATGGTACATTTGGTACTTTTCTCCAGCACCACAACACAGCTATTAATTCTTCTGTTATCTTTAGTCATTGCCAAACTCTCTGATGTGTACATAGCAAACAATTGTGAAGACCATGGCCTGGATCAGGCACACCTTAGTCTCTACCCTGATATCATTGCTCTTTAGCAATCTGGAGTGGTTCCTGACAACGGATTTTATTAATAAAATTCGTCTTTTGTTTTCCTGACTGCTAGTGCGGAGAGTATTAATTGTGGAGCCAAGCAACCTTGCAGCAAATGCTTCAGGCCCTTCTTAGTTTTGGTGAGCAAGGTTGTGTCATCCACATCCCACAGGTTTTTAATGAGTCTTCCTCCACTCCTGATTCCACATTTCTCCTCATAAAATCCAGCCTTCCAAATGATTTGTTCTGCCTATAGATTGAAAAGGTATAGAGACAGGATGCATCTCTGATGCACTCCTTTCTTAATTTTGAACCATGCAGTGTTTTTTTACACTGTTCTAACAACTGCTTTCTAATTCAAGTATAGGTTTTTCATGAGCACAATCAAGTGTTCTAGGATTCCAATTCTAATCAAAGATAGCCACAATTGTGATCCATATGGTCAATGAAACACTGATAAATACTCCCCTTGTACTCTGTGCTTTCAGCCAAGATCTGACATTGGCTATGATATCCCTAGCGCCATCGCCTCTTCTAAATCCAGTTTGTGTTTCTGGTAGTTCTCTGTTGATGTACTGTTCCAGTCGTTTTTGGATAATCTTCAGCAGGATTTTGCTTTTGTGTAATATTAACGATATTGTTTGGCAATTTCCTCACTGTGTCAGTTTTTGGTTTTTTGTGAGTTTCTGGTTTTGGTGTTTTTTGTTTTATTTTTTTGTAATGGGGTTAAATATAACTCTCTTCCAGTCAGTTGGCCAGGTAGTCATCCTCCAGATTTCTTGGCATAACCTGGTGAGGGCATCCAGGGCAGCACGTCTGCTGAGGTATGTCAACTGGTATTCCATTGATTCTTGGGGCCTTGTTTCTTGCTAATTCATTCAGAGCAGCTTAAATTTCCTTTTTCATAACCATTGCCTCTTGATCATATGTTGTGTCATAAAATTATTTTGTGTCAGCCATTCTTTTTGGTACAGTGACTCTGTGTACTCCTTCCATCTTCTTTTGATGTTTTGTGAATCATTCATTATTCTTTCCATAGCATCTTGAAGTATTGCAACTCAAGGCTTGAATTTGTTCTTCAGTTCCTTTAGCTTAAGAAATGCTAAGCAGGTTCATCTCTTTAGCTTTTCTGATTCCAGCTCCCTGCACATTTAATTTTAATGCTTTGCTTTGTCTTCCTGAGCTGTCTTGAAATCTTCTGTTTAGCACCTAAGTTCCTGATCTTTCCCCTTTGCTTTGGCTTCTTGGCATTCTAGTTCAATATTTAAAGACTCTTCTGACATCCATCTTGATCTTTTCTTCCTCCTTTGCCTTTCTAATAATCTTTTGCATCCTTCATAAATGTTGTTCTTAATTCTCTCCCACAGCTCATATGGTGTTTGTTTGTTTATTAGTGTGCAAGGACTCAAACCTGTTTCTGAGATTTTGGGTTTGGGTTTGTTGTTTTGTTTTTTTTAATTCAGATGAGATAGACTCAAATTCAAATTTAGTTCTTGTGGATTGGTTTTAATTTTCTTTAGCTCCAGCTTGAACTTGAAAATGAATAGTTGATGAGCTATTCTATAATCAGCACCTGGCCTAGTTTTCATAAATGATATTGAGTCTCCAGTGATTGTAATCAATCTGATTCTTTTAAATGAGAACTCAGAATTCCCACCACTTCCTTAGATGCTGACTTTATTGTGAAAACTTACCTGAGGGTTGCAGATTGGGACAAGCCTTTAAAAGGTAATGTAGAAGATGCAGAA